CCATTGGCAACAAAGGTGGAAAAACGTGACAGTGGCAAGATCAGGATCAGGTGGCAGAATGGAGAAAAAAAAAAAACTTGGGAGAACCCAGGCTCAGTCGGGGGGCAGTTCTCCTCTGACAAATGAACGGACAGTGTATGATTATGATTCAGGCAGCATATAGGTCAGAAGTCAGATTGGATTGGAGCAATCAGAATATTATCCAATTCCATCTGGTTGAAGATCGGAGTCACGCCGGTGTGGAGACGGGTTTGTTGAGGATCAGTGCCGATGGCTGTTGTGTAAATGAGGCCTTCACAGGGGAGAGTCTAGTTGACACAATCTCTGCTGACACTTCAGGGATGCGTTTTGTAAGCACTTGTTTTTGTAAGACTGTTCACTGCTCCTTAGGAAAATTAGCCATGGTTTTGTGATCGATTACTGTTTTTATTACTCTTGTTTGTTAACATTGTCAGGGTCTGAATCGCGCTCAAATTGGTTTGAAATTGACGCCATCCGTAACATTTACACTAGAGCAGAACTCGCAGTTATGGAGGGGCGGGACATTTCTTGAACATGCGCTAAGCAGTGCCAATCACAACACACTGGGCCAGCTAACCAATCACAGCACATTTCATATTTTGCAAGGAGGGGCTTCATCAAAATTGGCGTGTTTGAGCCAGACTGGGGAGAGAGGTGCTGTAATAATGTAAAATATGTGAAAAATAAAGCGTTTTTTCAATAATCAAGCATGAAAGTATATTCTAGTACACCACAAAAACAACAAGACTTCGTAAAGGGGCATAATAGGACCTTCTTTAACATATGTGATTATGGGGAAAATCTAAAGTGACAAGAATAAGCATATGATTAAATAGAAAAATTATTAACCCACTGATGGTCTTCAAAATAAAGTCACACTCGTGGTCTTCGGGGTCTATTGGACCCCAGACAACAACATTTAATTTTGTAACCGAACAATATATTTTTTTTTTAACAAATATAATTTTACTCTGTTTATTAATGTTTTTACTCAACATTTGTGCAGTTTTTGGAGAATTTATGATTTTTTTTAAATTTCTATAAATAAATAAATATTTAATTAAATAGGAGTTTTACAAAAAAACAGCAGTTTATGTTAAATAAACTTTATAAAAGACCCAGATTTCTAACTTTCATTCCTGGGGATACCAAGGATAATTTTACAAGGTTTAATGTAAGATTTTTGCCCATTTTTTGGAAAATACAGGTTAAAATTTGTAATAAATCACTTTAACCACTAGATGGCTATAGAGCTCCATTATATACTATTTGCTATTTGAATTACTGAAAGATATAATTTCTAAAGTTGGATTCAGTTGGATTCATATCGAAATATTATAAAATCACAATTATAACAAAAATAAAATAATTTTTGTCAATTTAGCATTTTTTGTACTGAAAAAACACTATGCATGGTAAACCGCATGACTTCTGCAGACAGGGTTGGAGCAGGTTTGGCACTTCACTGTTGTTGTTGTGTGTGTGTGTGTACATTTTATTTTTATGTGTACAGTGTCACCAATTTATTTTTGTGGTGGTTCTTAATTTTGTATGATTTTATTTGACAAATTATAAGACTTTTTATAGCCTTACAAATGTATTCCTGTGTGTGTGTGTGTGTGTGTGTGTGTGTGTGTGTGTGTGTGTGTGTGTGTGTGTTATGTGTGTGTGATTGTGTATGTTTTTTGCATTGTTGGAAGTGTGCCACTTTATTTCTGTCATTTCTGTCCATGTGTTCTACGTTGTTTCTGATTTTGATGATGTTATTTTGTCTATTTTGATTGCGGGGTCCAATAGACCCCGAAGACCACGAGTGTGACTATTTTTGTCACGCCAACATAAAAACAGATATCATTACATTTTTTTTTTTTTTTTGTAGATCTAGAAAGTGTTGAGAGCCGTAGAAAGTTTCAAACCATTTGGACAAAGAGAACATTTTTTTTAATTTGAGCAAAAGTCATTTTGGGTCCAATAGACCCCGAAGACCATCTATGGTCAGTTAAATGATAAATTTCATTCTAAAAATCCTTTAAAACTATCATAAATCTCTAATTAAGATATAATAAAGTATTATTATTAACTAACTTTTTTATTTTTATTCAACAATTTATGTTGCTTGTGGTACTCTATAAATGTCCACCACAGTAATTTGATGAATGAGTTGCTAATCAAGTGCTAATGTGTTTTACTTGGCTTTCTGGCAGAATAAAATCGGGGCAGGTCGGCTGATGGGTCCTAAAGGAGTGGCTGTGGATAAGAATGGTCATATTATCACAGCAGACAACAAGGCCTGCTGTGTCTTCATTTTCCAATCCAACGGCAAACTGGTGACCAAATTTGGTGCCAAAGGAACATCAGAGAGGCAATTTGCAGGTGATGTCTCTTATTTTGTCAAGGTTCTTGTGCTACTGCACTGGTCTTGAGCATTTAATTCATGGCCAGATCATGTTTTAATCTTTCTGTTTCTCTGCAGATAAAAGTACTCCGAATACCCCAACTGAGCCAAAGCAGAGTAAATCTGGCCCTGCCTTCAGTGCGTATTCAACCTTTTCAATTTTTAGATGAACTATTTCTTGTTGTAGTTTGTATGATTGATTATTGAATGAGGTCATTTTAAAACAGAAAAACAGAAAACAATGAAAGCTTTGTAAAATAATTGATTATCCACATAAAGAGAGCAATGCTGAGAGAAAAGTGTGTGTGTATGTGTGTTTCATAAATCAAGTGTTCTCTATGCTGCCACACTTCCTTAGAAACAAAACAACATCTTCTGCATGTAACAATAAGTCTCTCTCTCACTTTCTCTCTCCTTCTATGGCCATAAGGTCCCCATTTTGTGGCTATAAACAACAAGAATGAAATTGTTGTGACAGACTTTCACAATCATTCAGTTAAGGTATGCTGAGCTCTTCCCTTTTATTGCGTAAATTGTTCCACATGCCAAAACATGTATTCGTCCAAATCTAACCAGGTCTGCTGTCTGTTTTTATGTTCTGCCTCTAATTAATGACATTTCAACTTTTGCTAATTAAAAGATGCTTGTTTTGATACACATTTCTTAACATTGTTTGCTTTTTTGTGGTCTTTTTTTCCTCTGGATTTAACATGGATTGTTTGATTTACGGCTTCTTGCAGGTTTACAATGCTGATGGAGAGTTCCTGTTTAAATTTGGATCGCATGGAGAAGGGAACGGCCAGTTCAACGCACCCACCGGTGTGGCTGTTGATGGCAATGGGAATATTATTGTGGCAGACTGGGGTAACAGTAGGATACAGGTAGGCTATGGAACACTCTTGATTTTTATCTTCACATTTAATATAATTTATAATAGTTTTATAGTTTGGCCAATTCATCAATTTTTGTCATAAAAGTATATGGAAATGTGACTTTTCTATATAATGACCCAAGTATTTGCACACTTTAGACAGAATTCCAAATTTGTGAATTTCATTGCATTAGCTAAAATATCAAACAGCGTCTGCAAACATTCAAATTATTATAGATCTTTCCTCAGAACCAAATTCTAAATAACTAAATAGAATTTTTATAAAAAAGAAACAATTTGACTTTTCTGAGACATTTGCAATTACTTTTAGCCAAAATAAAATTTTATTTTAAACTTTTTTTTTTCATTTTTTATAATACAATTATATATTTCATTTAATAATGTGATTATATGTTTATTGTATTTTCATTTATTATTTATTGTAATTTATTTTTATATTATAACATAATTGTTAACACTTTACAATAAGGTTACATTAATTGACATGAACTAGCAATGAACAATACTTCTACAGCATTTATTAATCTTAATGTTATTCTTCAAATTTACAAATACATTTTAAGATCAAAAGTTGTATCTGTTAGCTGCACTGTGAACTAACATTAACGAAAGTTAATAAATGTTGTAAGAATATATTGCTCATTGTTAGTTCATGTTAGTTAATGCATTAACTAATGCTAACAAGACCTTATGGTAAAGTGTTACCATATAATTATATATATGATTTATTTTTATAATTTTATTTTGTGTATGTATATATGTTATTATTATTATTATAAAATCTATTCAAACTACATATTTTTGTCATGTAGGTGTTTGACAGTTCTGGCTCTTTTCTGTCGTACATCAACACGACGGCGGATCCTTTGTACGGACCGCAGGGTCTGGCTCTCACGTCAGATGGTCACGTGGCCGTGGCAGACTCTGGGAACCACTGCTTCAAAGTATACCGATACCTGCAGTAAAGACTCGCCGTGATGGAAGAGTTAACAAATATACTGTAAGGTCTTTGGCATTTCATGTTTTCCTTTGCACAAGTCTCTGCACATACATTTCCAGCCATTTGACTGATGTTGATGTGAACAAACCCAGGGCTTCATGAATGTTGCATCCCTATTTGATCAATTTGTGTTATTAGTCATTTCCTAAATGAATGTAATGTATATTGAACCATAGCAAGTAATAACAGGCGCTGTGTATGTAACAGTGACCGAGAGGGCAGCTATATTTGTGCTTTTTACAAAATCTTTCATGCAAAACTTAAAGCTGCTCAACAAACCCCTCTGTTAAACTTAACAAGAATTGCAGGGAATAAAATGGCGGTCAATAAATGTTTTCTGGGCAAATCATTAATGCAACAGCTTAAGAATGACCTGTGGATGGAGCTCAAAATTCTCACATCAAACTGGCCTTTTGTGCATTGACTAGCTGTACATGTGTACGTATTTGTATCATATGGTGTAAATTTGATCGCCATTGATTTGCTGTAATATCTTATTTTGAGATCCACTCTCTCTTAGTGTGCTAAAGCTCAATATTAAAGTAACCCAGTTGTCAATGTGCTTTACTGGCTTTACTAGAACTGCTTGTAGGTTCATCGTGCCTCTGATTTTTAAAAGCGATTTGGGCTTGCTACATATCACTGACCACAACAGCACAATTGACATATTGCATGCTTTGTATTCACGTAAAAAAGGTTATAAAGCAAGTTTATTTATTTTGTACACAATGGTATAATGTACAAGTTATTTTTCTAAGTTGAAGTGTTTTGTTTATCTGCAGTTATCTGCTGCCTTCAGTGGTTTTCACAAGGTGTACAAAGCTAATGTCTAGTGAAGTACAACAGTTTTTTCTCATGCACATGATAGTCACCACTTCAAAGGGAATCTTTCATATCAAGACAACGGAAATATGAACATAAAACAATAAGGGAAAAATTAAATCACACAGCCACTGCTGCATTTTAAGTTGCCAAATTCATGGAAGAACAATTTGCAGGGTACTTGCCGTAGTTTACTGTATTACTGAAGCATTTACTACTGTTTTTTTTATTTTGTTTTATTGCTTGTTTTCTATGAATGTAGGAAAATGAATGAAAAATGTAAAAAAAAAAAAAAAAATTTTTTTACTGCTTGATCATTTTGGCCCAGATGTTACACCACGACGGTCACAAAAGCAACACAGTCACGATCAGGACATCATCTGTACTTTATATGGAGTCATGAACGAGTGCAAGCGATAAAAAGACAGTGTTGTTTAAGCCACTAAATACAGTATTCCATAATAAAACTGTACAGTGTATAACCACAACAGGACACATGAAGCATTTTAAACGTAGTATTTAAACTGCAATAATGCACTCATTGGTGCTCAGAAATGTAGCATCTCTAAAAATACCCCTTAAAAAAGAGGACCCTTGTTTTATGGTGTTGTAATACTGAAAAGCTAAAGGTCAAGTCGTGTCAAAGAGATAATATCTGGAATTATCGTAATACATTTCTTCCATTTGACTTCCCTCTATGTATCAGAATGAAAGGTGACGTGAATCTACTGTATTGCCAATAACACGGAAAACTGAATTGAAATGCTTGACTCTATTTTCCAATGTATCAAACAACTGTAACAGTCTCTTTATATGTCAGTATATGCACTAGAAATAAAAGCACATGATTTACAGAGCCAAATAATGATGTTTTAAGTGGTTATTTTACCATCTCCGTTATGTTTTCTAAATATCACAGCGTTTAATGGGGTGTTTCGTTATAAATTCATTAAGATGAAAGCAGGCAGAGCGACTTGAGGTTGCCTTGCATTGCTTTTCTTCTGGTATCTTCTCGATCCACATGTCACTGTTCAGTACATACCTGAAACTTCAGAAACAATAGAAGAACAATGTTTTATGAATCAAAAAACAATTTGCATTTTGTCTTTTCAATAAACTTCAGATTTCAAGGCTTACTGTTGTCCATCGTTATTCAGAACTGAGATTGCGTTGTTCTGACCCATGAACAGATATTGTGCTTTATTATTCAGCTCCATTTTATCACAAGATAAGCGCAGTATCATCTGGCGCGTGACATCTTTCTGGATACTAGAGTCCATCCCTTTAACAAGAAAGGTTGTGTTGATATATTATTTATTCCGGTAACAATTTACATGCATTAGGTATAATTTTCTGTTATTAGGTATAATGAACTTTGCAGAATCTATTACTTGAAGTATGTACAGTCAGTCGGCAATTATCACAAAATAACTCCCGACAGCGTGGTCAGGTTGGGGTTTATTTTTTCCAATACCAGGCTAATGACTGACGGTACATTACACAGATACCACATAAACAAATACGTGGACAGTGGACAAGAGATGTTGGTTGAAATAATCGTATGATTTTACCTGTATGTTGTCTTAAAGATTCCGCTATGAAAAAATAGTACATTACAACCAGGGCCTAAAACTAACTTTTTCCCACACCTGCCAAAGGCCGGTGACTTCAAAATAAGAACATACTGCCCATAAATATTTTTACTAGCCATGAAACTGTTTTTGAAAACAGGAAGTTATGACACCCAAATATTAGATTCCAGTGAAATTTCCAGTTTTCACAGAAATTTTATAAATTAGGCTTATCAAATGTAAAATAACGCGGCATAGTCTTCACTGTATAAATTAAACATAGATTAAATCTTATTAAAGTTAGAGGTTATTCAATCAAGAGCAGTGAGTGTTTTTGTCAGTGAGAATGCAGGTATATTAGGCTGCTGTCACTTTAAGACCATATGCACAGATCCAATATACTGATACATTCTGTACACCTGCATTTTCTTTCTCAACTTCATTCATTTAAAACACAACCGACTATGTTTACTAGGAAACTCATCATGACGGGAATTTTTTTAACATAATTTTGAGTGAATTTGCCAGTGGATGGCGCGATTCACCAATCAAAACCAAGTATTCAAAACAGCCATACAATAACTAATAGTTATAACTTTAATCAACCTATAGAACCTTATTACAACTTGTTTAGTTTTAAATTTTAAAATACTGAGGACCAAACTTACCAGTCTGAAGAACATCAGTGATTAATATGGTATAGTGCATAAACACTTCATCTCTGCTTGAGTTGACCATTTTAATCACATAGACTATAGAAAACAGAACACATTTAAAATATAAGTTAGTATAGTGTTAAGACTGGGCAACATACAGTATTTGTACATTATCTGACTTTAGTTCCTCACCATAGTCAACGGTAGGATCGTAGCATGCAAATCTGCTCCGGGTGTTATTTTTCATATCCTTGCTGAAGGTGACTTTCAGATTTGGACAACCACCTGAAAAGTGTGAAATGTATATCTGGTTTTCACTTATGCATTTGTGGCCCATGTGTTCAAATATAATCACAGTATAATCACTACAGTTTTTCCCACCCTCTGCACATGTACACACATCCCCATTGCACAGTTTGGAGATCATTGGGCTTTTCTGAGGGGCTGTATAGAATATGCCACATCTCTTTTCTGTGTAACACATTGAATAGCATTAGTCGGTGATCATACTCAAAAGTGTTGTCAATAAAGTGTTCTGTTCATAGTGTTTGATGACCTGGGCTGTAATAGTCATAGATGACAGCAGAAGCAGGTTGGACAAGGCCCATGGGAACAACCTGGTCAGCACCAAACTGAAGACACTCCTCGGTTTCGGTGATCTGTTGACATGAACCATATAATCAAAATATTTGTGTCTGATGGATCTGTACTGATGAATAAAAGTGGAGCCAATTTAACTCAATGACATTCATGTTCAAATTCAGCAAAAAGAAGAATAAAAAAGATGCAAACCATACATCAAAAAGAAACAATTTAAAATTCATGGGATTCTTGAAAAGAAACTCTTCCATTACCTTCGCAAAATAAAGAAAGACTTTATTATGGTGGGTTTCGTAGTGATCAATGTACCTCTCTGAGCCCTTTACATTCTGTGGGGGAAAAAATTAGAAATTAAATAAATTCTTAGAAAAAAATACATTCATATTTTATATCACAAAGTCAGGAAATTACAGAAAACTTCCAGAAATATGGTGCTTATTGTAAGAAAACTTGCTCATTTTTTTTTTTTTTTGATGTTTACCTCATGCTTATTGCATTGAAATGGTAAATATTAAATATTATTAATACCTACATCGTACTCACAGAATACTAACAAGTCATAGAAATATAATGTATGTTTGAGAACTACATGTAATAATAATAAAAATGATAAATGCATACGCACATGTTCCAAATCCTTGATGTGTGGCATCAGTCCACTTAGGAGTGAGATGTCCACCATGACCATGCCAACAGAATTGTTCTTCTTCATGCTTTGGGAGGACAGAGGAGAGAATATAGGCCAAACAATTCTGTTGAACATTTATATAACAAATCAACCATTTGTAAGCGCATAAAAAGATTGTTTACTGTGCTCACCCCACACACACTGTGTATATGAGTGAACTCTCTTTCTTTGGCTCCTCTGAGATTTGTCTTTTTCGGCGGCTGCGAAGATCAAACCATTCTATGCTGCTCATGGGCTCATCTTTTTGATCCTCCTCGGCTTCGTAGTTGTAATAATCATCAAACGTTTCTTCCTTATTGTACATTTCTAGAGAAGAGCATATTGACTTTAAGTCCTAGTGTAAATTATTATTAGATGACGTTTGTAACTACTTCTCCTCGCCATCGGAGGTCACCCTCACCCAAATACTAGATCTGTGAAACGTTCATTTAAAGGGATACTCCACCCAAAAATGAAAATTCTGTCATCATTTACTCACCCTCAAGTTGTTGCAAACCTATATGAGTTTCTTTCTTCTGCTGAACACAAAGGAAGATATTTTGAAGAACGACTGGAACCAAACAGTTGTCTGGCACCATTGACTTCCATAGTAGAAAACCCCCCAAAAAACTATGGAAGTCAATGGTGCCAAAGTTCCAATCGTTCTTCAAAAATATCATTTTTGGCTGGAGTATCCCTTTAATGTATAGTTTTTAACATCCTGTCTGGTTGAATAAAACATTTAAACTTAAAAAAAGAAAATGTATCCACACAATTCAAATTTAACTTCTTATTCAGAATGACCTACAACAACAGCGGCTGTCACATTATATGTTACGTACTGTATTCCAGCTCTCCTTCCACTGTAACACTAAGGTGAAAAAGATCACAGTACGATTCATCCTTTTTCATAGTTCTGTATGTCTGCACAACCTGTAATGAGCAAAAAGCCATTTAAAATAAAAACTGAAACATCGTAGATCATCAATAATGTAAGTTTGGAGGAAAAAAATTATAATCTTACTGTTAATGTTCCATGTCCCGTTCCCTGAACATTTAGGGTAAATTTACCAGCATTTCTGACCTGTGTAAACATGTGCACATATAGTGTGGGTTTTATACTTGTTATGGCATACTTTATCGCATTTAAAGACTAATAAAATCACTTGATGGGTTTTCTGCAGCCTGTTGATATTCCCCATTGAAACTTGATGTTTCAACATATCAAAACGTTGTTCCTTTTTAATATTGGTTGCACCAAAGCCATGAACCTACTTTCTAGACGCTTGAATATGGAATATGGAACATGGGCTCACTCGTTTAAGAAGTCATGACTATTTTTAAAAGTAAAGTATGCATATATCTGCTAAAGATAGTATTCTATAGAAAGTATTCTTTCTTACCTTAACAGCTTCTGTGGTGAGCGCATTATGTTTGGTCAATTGAAAATCTTGCTTTTTGCCATTTTCAAGGCACATTTCCACCCTCAGATCCAGGTCTCGTATATCGTTGTTCTGTATGCTGTATTTTGCCAGAGCCTCAAGGGCCACGACTGTATCCTATGTATATATATATATATATATATATATATATATATATGTATAAAACATTGATCAATGCAAATTCGAAAACCAACACAAAAGATGATATGAATAGGGCTGACAAGTCTAAAAAAATGCTAATGGGCCAAAATGACTTGGTCTTGGCTGGGCCTATAATCTTCACATTATAGTATTCCTTGTTTTTTTTAAAAAGCAACCTTTTTAAACAGTCAGATGACAAGAAAGTTTGCATCATGACCCCCTTGTTTTGTGGGTTGTATATGATCCATGTGCATTTACTATAGGTATTGCACTTGTGCAGCAACTGTTGCCTACTGTGGTTCAAGGTCATAATGGTAATAGCTCATGGAGCACTCTTTAGCGTGTTTTAACCATCAACATATCTTTTATTATTATTATTATTACTAGTGCAATGCCCGTGCAAAATCAGTTTGTGTGTGTTTTTAGTTATTGTTGGTTTGGTATGTTTGAGTTGCTTAATAGCCTAGGCTACTATTACAGCCTAAACTATGAGAAAACGATTACGTTACAGGCACAGGAATAAAATATAATATTCAGAATTAAACAGTGCAGCTGACTTAAATTGATTCAGCGCTACTTTTTCAAAAATGAATAGCTACTTTTTTCAAAAAGAATCGCTACTTTTTCCAAAAAGAATAATGTAACAAAATAATAATGTAACAAATGTATTATAATAATAATGTAACAAATGTATAATAACAATGTAATAAATGTATAATTACATTGTAATAAACGTATAGTTACATTGTGATAAATGTATAATAACACTGTAACATGTATAATTATTTTTTTTACACTTTTTTCAAAAATCGCTACTTTTTCCAAAAGAATCGCTACTTTAAAAAAAAAAGAATCGCTACTTTTAAAAAAAGAATAATGTAACAAAATAATAAATTAACAAATGTATAATAATAATAAAGTAACAAATGTATAATAACACTAATAAATGTATATTGCATTGTAATAAACGTATAATAACACTAATGTATATTACATTGTAATAAACGTATAATTACATTGTAATAAATGTATAATAACACTGTATTAAACGTATTACATTGTAATAAACGTATAATAAGACTGTAACAAATGTATAATTATTTTTTTACACTACTTTTTTCAAAAAGAATCGCTACTTTTTCTAAAAGAATCACTATTTAAAAAAGAATAATGTAACAAAATGTAACAAATGTATAATAATTATAATGTAACAAATGTATAATAACACTGTAATAAATGTATATTACATTGTAATAAATGTATAATAACACTGTAACATGTATAATTACATTTTTTACTTTTTTCAAAAAGAATCGGTACTTTTTCTAAAAGAATCACTATTTAAAAAAGAATAATGTAACAAAATAATAATGTAACAAATGTATAATAATAATAATGTAACAAATCATAATAACACTGTAATAAATGTATATTACATTGTGATAAACGTATAATAACACTGTAATAAATGTATAATTACATTGTAATAATGTATAATGACCAGTGTTGGGCAAGTTACTTTTAAAAAGTAATTAGTTACAGTTACTACTTCCAAAAAGTAACTAAATTAGTTACTCAGTTACAAATTTTAAAAGTAACTAGTTACTTAAGAAAGTAACTATTGCGTTACTTTCAAGTAAAATTAAATTTTAAATGCTCAAATGTGACCCCACCTCTACCCCTCTTTAACGGAACTTACAATACATGTTCAATTATTTATGATAAATCTGAATATTATAATGAAATGGACACTTAATACAATACATTATTAACAGAAACATGAAACATTGTACACACATCTAAAAAAAAAAAATGTTGCTGTGGGAAAAAGTGAGACTAGCCTCCAATCAAATGCCATGTAGATATTATGTTTATATAGTGGATCAATGCAAATAACACAATAGATGTTTTGGAACTTTTGATATTTATTGCCCCTCAACAGGCCACAACTGGGCAAAATTAAATTAAGCTTGTTAAGCTCGTCGCCATACCTGTCTCTCGTTGACTGACTGGCTTGCTTGTGTTGTTCATTGTGTGTCCTGTCCTGTCCGACTATGCGTTATGATGGGTCGTTCGCAATTCATGAGCGTTAGCCGTTAGTGATGATGGATCGACTCGTTCGCGAATGAGCTTTTGATGGGTCGTTCGCGATTCGCGAATGAGGCGACTCTAAGAGCCGGCTCTTTTAGGTGAACGTCGGGAGCTGGCTCGCATATCTGAAGAGCCGACTCTATTTTTACAAATTTAGCCTATAGAAATTAAATAATTATGTAAAAAAAATGTTAAATATTATAGTCAAAGTCATTTAAAGAGCCGTTTGTGAGCCAAAAGAGCCGGCTCTTTTCAGTGAGCTGAGTCAAAAGTGCCGAATGCCTACTACTATGCGTGCTTTCGAACACCCGCCCAACTCTACCTCTGATTGGCTTACAATGACATTTTACTCTACCTCAGTCGTCAGCATTTATGCGCTTGTCTCGTGCTCTGCCCACTAACCAAGGAAGAACAGTAAAAAAAAGTATTTGCCTCTCGCTCAGAGATCTAGTTGGTCTGATGAAAAAAAAAACCCAGCTTCATCAGTTATAGTAACGCGCCGCATTTTTTGGCAGTAACGGGAACGGCGTTTTTAAGATGAGAAGAGTAATCAATTAGATTACTCGTTACTGGAAAAAGTAATGCCGTTAGGTTCAATGAACCCATTGAAAACTATTGAAAACATACGCCAGGCGCGTAGAAAAACGCTTTGGTGGACACACGGCCTTAGGCCTTAGTCCGTGTGTCCACCAAAGCGTTTTTCCACGTTTTTCCTTAGGCCGTGTGTCCACCAAAGCGTTTTTCCACGCGCCTGGCGTATGTTTTCAATTGTTTTCAATGGGAGCGCCGGGTTTTTAGAACGCCATGAGCGCAACGAGGCGCTGGACGTTTTTTTCCACGCTGAAGCACTGAGAGCTCGGCGTTTTTACTGGTCGCCGAGAGTTGAAGAATGTTCAACTTTGGGTAAAACGCAGCACTCATCACTGTCACTTTTTACCCAGCCGTCCAATCACAGTGGAGGAGGGGCGGGACTTATACCACACCGAGCAACTGTCACAACATTCTTTCTGTACAACGACATCAACCAGCAGAGCTGACCGAACAAAAGGGATGAAAAATACATTTTTAGTATGAAACAAATTATCTGCGAAATCAGTTACAAGTAAACTGTGCTGCGGATATTCTGTATCATAGCAACGAAACGTCTCAACGGAAAAAAACGCTGCGCTGCCAACACGCTCTCAAGCGCCCAAAGCTAGGCGTCTTCAGCAGAGCGTCTAGCGTTTTCAGCTGGCTAAAAACGCTTTGGTGGACACACGGCCTTAGTGTTTAGCTGTCAGAATGTTTATTTTACCACAATTTTTAAACCACAACCCTCTCTAATGTCAGAATGTTTATTTTTAAACCACAACTTCAATGTGTGCTTCTTTTACCGATATATTTAATGCAGATATCTTTTGTATTTCTAATCCAAACAATGTCAAACGCGGCACTGCACTTACTCGTGCCCGAATCAAGACACCTGTCAAGTTTGAAATCCATCGGACTAACTGTTCAAAGGTTTGGCGTCAATAAGGCTTTTTTTGTTTGTTTGTTTTTGAAAGAAGTCTCTTGTGCTTACCAAGACTGAATTTATTTGATCATAAATAGTAACAATTGTGAAATACAATATAACTGTTTCATGTATTTTAAAATATTTAAAGCTGCAGTCCGCAGTTTTTCCTCTTTGTCGCCATCTCTGTTTGAAATCTGCAATTGCAGTTATTCACGGAATTGTCACGGAGTTGTAGTTCGATACCCTCGACACGGCACAGAGCGGATGAACACAATGTTTGAGGAGAGTGTGCGGCTGTCAGTCACCGTGCCGGTGTTGATACTGGCATTCAGAATCACAGATTATTCTTTTTGGAAGTATGACCAACATAAGAATTTTCTCCGGAAAATGTCATCTGAACAAGAAACATCCACTTTTGTTCTGGTTCTGACATTGCAGTAAATCGCGCTGATTAAATCTAACAATCGCTTATCATATCACGCAAAACCGTGCAAATTAAACTTTGTTCTCAAATTGTTAATGTTAACAACGTCAGCATTGCGTGACTACATGTAATGTCCTTCCGATATGTATCCTTGTTTTCGCATGGGTCCGGTTTCAGTCTCTTCTTTCTGTAGCCACTCCGAACGAAGTCTTTTGGATTTTACAGCGGGTGAATCTGTTGTCACTGGTGATCGTCGTTTGAACCTTTCTGGATCCGCCATCAAATTGATAAGTTTAATTATATCAAGTGCTGTGAGAAAAGTCTATAAATCTCCACCTCCAGCATTCTCACACGCAATATAGCCTACTAGCCGAGACTCCTTCTTTATGTGTTAAACAGCAAAACAGCATTAAACAGCAAAACAGCATTAAACAGCATATAAATCAAAACTCCCTAATGTTACTGAATGAAATGTTGACCCAGGATGAGCTAGGCTGCTGCATGGCTACTTAAAAAAAAAAAACCCCGCTGGTGGGGAAAGAGTTAAAATAATTCTGCCACCCACCTGTGTGGACTGAAATCCACCACCATATTTGCGCTGCTCTGTCAGCCAGTTTGCAGCGAGTTTAGCAGTCTTCATGTCAGGCACTGACAGCATACTGAGTAGAGCATATGCTGTGGTCTCCACAGATTCAGCCTCAGCTTTACCCTCTAATTTGCCTCTGCCACCTTTGGCATCCCAAAAACAAGTTTCTGTGCAGAAAGGAGAGAAAATTTGATGCATGAATTGGATAATATGATAACTGAGCTAAAAAAATTGTTACCACATTTTTTACATGCTAATTTTTTGTGTGATTCTTTATTTATTAAACATTTTATGTGTATAGACATGCAGTTTTTGAGAATATCTTCTGCTATGCTAGGTGGATTATGTTCTAAGAGAAAGAAATCAAGATGTAAAATTGCTGGTAATAATTTAATTACTGACGGTGGTCACAATTAGCAATGTCTTTTAGCTTCTGCTGCACTCGCCGGGCTTCTGCACTTTGATGGTCATGCAAGGTCAAGGCATAAGCTGTGATGGCAAGCGAATAGGGACTCTCCAAAGCATCCAACTGCCCATCTAGATAAGACTTTGCTTTATCAATAGCTACTCTCTGGAAATAAACAGAGGTTTGTATTGTTTATTCAGTAGTTAATGAACTGAATTGATGTCACTAGAGTTAATATGTTACCAGTTCTGTATCAGTTCCCAGCTCGTAGACTTTCGAAGCATGGTTCATTGATATAAGGAGAAAAGCAGTTAGGGGAACATCATCTTTCGCCTTTCCAACTCCTCCCTGAGGACACATATTTGTCTATTTTCAGTCAATGTTAGCAATCAATATTGATATATAAAATAAATATACCCTTTTAGCTGTACCTTCATTCCTCTGTCATATAGGCGATTGGGATCATCCCATGCACCGTTGCTCTTCTGTTTGGAAATGAGATAAGACATGGCATCCTGAATATATACGTCATTCACATTGATAATGTCCCGGGACTCCGTCAGCTCCTTGGCAATATATGCAGTAAGCCTACAGGTAGGTTGGATAGAATAAAAAAATAAAAAAATAAAAAAAACAACACCTTTGTACTAATATATATCAAAAACAAAATCTTAAATTATGTGTGGATTTCTTGTAGTTAATATAAAAAATGAATTAAGCATTCTTGGCATTGATAATGTCATGCTGTACCAGTTGCGCTAGGCTAAGAGGAACCAAAAACGTACCAAATACTGCTGGGAGTCTGCAGAAAGGCTCCGTAAGAGCCATCAGTTTTCTTGTGTGTGAGGACTGTGCTGTAACCTGGTACATAAGAAGTTGAAACAAAGATGTATGTGGTTTAAGTTGATGTTTCAACATCCTAACATTTGTCAGGTATTTTAATACTTTAATACTTTTGTATAATGGTGGGCCCAACAAAAACTCTTATCTCGCATATGCAAATATATGATAAATACAATACTGTTCAAAAGTTTGGGGTCAGTAAGAGTTTTCAAAATAAATTATTTAATTCCAGAAGGATCCATTACATTTAAGAAAAGTGACAGTAAAGGCATTTTTAATGTTACAAAAGATTTAAAATAAACGCTGTTTTTCAAACTTTCTATTCATCAAATAATCCCAAAAGAAAAATGTATCAAAGTTTTAACAAAAAATATTAAGTTTTCCACATTGATAATTACAATAAATCAAATCAGCATATCTGAATGATTTCTAAAGGACCATGTGACACGGAAGACCAGAGTAATGATGCTGATCAGCTTTGCTATCACATTAATAAATTATATTTAATAACATTCAAATAGAAAACAGTATTTTTTATCAAATAAATGCAGCCTTGGTGAGCATAAGAGACTTCTATCAAAAACATAAAAAAAAAATCATACTGACTCCAGGAACGTGATTTCAATCGAGGAGGAAGAACATGAATAAATTTGTGGGGGAAGCATTTTCCACCAAGGAGAGCCCACAGCAACAACCTGGATACCCTAGTTATGGCCCTGCTCATAGCTTATGACCTATTCGAATATTTACTTGATTTTTTGTCATCTAAAGGTATCTCATAATGGATACGCACCAGTTTGGATCATTGATTTGGCCTCATCTCTTCGTTCAGCTTTCAGTGATATCCATTGGTCGGTGGCATCCAGGTACCGCATGGCATGAATAGCAGGAGACATCTTTACCATAACCTGCTCCGCACAGCCAGTGGGCAGCTTAATGAGTTTATCAACACCCTCCAGGTTTAGACAGTTATCTACCGACTCGCCCATCACACCACCTGGAAAATAACAAGGTCATTATCTAGTCTAGTGTACCTCAACTCCATCCATCCATCCACACACACACAGGCTCATGCAGGCTCTTCAGGAACAATCATAGAATAGGAATTCACTTACTCGATGGTAGGACTAAAAACGTTGCTGGAGTTTAGCGGCTTAAAACTTTATATATATATACCACCTCACCTTTTAAACTCAATAAGATCTCTGAGTCTGTCCCACCAGGGATCTCATCATCAGGGACTGGTATATCAATCTCTAATTCCCTTACTGCATAAAAAGACAAAAAAAAAAAGTTTACTGCAATGATAGAAAGCCTAAGAACAAATTGACTATTTATATACTGGATTCTTACATTTTTGATCAATGTTGAACTCCCTGTCAATAGAGGCGATTTCCCCTTCTCCCTACAGATGAAGGATTACCGAAGAGAGTTTTTGGGTGAATACTGAATTACTTGTAGGAAACAAGCGCATTCCCTTGAGAAACACCTTTAATTTCTCAGGTATGTGGCACTGAAGCACAGTAAAATCATGTTATGCCACACTTTACCTCCACACGGAGCTCCTTTTCTACTCGATCGTGGGCAGTGTCTGAGGCGTAAGCCAGCACGGTGATGGGGATATTTCCGATTGCAAGGGGCACCACGGTGAAATACACGGCCACTGCAGAGTTACCAGGAACTGTGACCTCCTCCCTCACCTCACTGCCGCCAGCAGTGCACAAACCTTCCTTCTTATCCATCTTCACTATTACCTATAGAGACATGATATGGCATTCTCAGCCCTTAAACAGGAACTAGAGTTTTGCTGAGTTTCTACAAAGCTTTTTAATCCTGTTTGTCACACTAATCATTTTTCTTTTTCAGGCACATGCCCTGGTTGCTAGTTAAAAATAATAGCACCTGAAATAAAGATGAATTAAATTTACCTGTAAACTCTCTTGCCTGTAATTGTACACAACAGCTTTAACCTGAAGCTGCTCATTTCTTTTCACAGAGTAAGGAAGGTTGACGGACAAAAAGAAATCTTGGAAGACCCTCAGGGGTTTTGGCTCTGCAATGCAGAATCCTAAATAATAATATTAAACACCTTTTGAAAAATGATCAGCATTTAAATAGCACTCCAAATGGCAGATTTTAAGTTAATAGCAACCTTTTGTGGAAGAAATGCCCACAGCCTGTATTTCCCAAGTGGTTATAGAATCAGGAGCAACTGCATCATGCCTGAAAGTTTACAAAAGACAAACAAGTATTTACATATAAAAATTATGTTAGAGGTGATTTATTCTATTCATCAGTATAGTCAAACTCATTATAATGTTTATTTATTTATCTGATTAATTGGTGACCTGATAATGCCAGTCCTATCTGATTCAATGACTGTCCACATCCACGACTGTGGGAAATATTTACGGAGGTAGATTACATCCTCATTAATAACAATTTCGTCCAGTGTGTCGTCAGTGACTACAGTGAGAGACAGAAAAGGAGAGTAGATTTCAGTTTTTAAAAGTAGCAGTAGTAATATAATAATAATGATACATTATATCTAATAATTTATATTGTATATAAGTGTAAGCAGCCAATTTAGTATTATTATTGAAAATATTGTAATAATGATAATTATAATAATTATGATTATATACTAAGTGACTTCACTGCTCAGCAATTTTTTAAATATTTTTTACATTTTATAATTTAAACTATAGTGGCAATGAAGCCAATTATTGATATAGACAATATTTTAACATTATTATTATTATTATTAAGGATATTAACACTAATAATAATAATTACTATTATTATAAAAAATAAATAAATTGGCTTCACTGCTCAGTGCTCACTCATTTCTTTGTTTGGTTTTATTTAGAAAGACAAATCACTGTAGAATTGTGTAATAAATGTGCTTTTAATCCAAGAAAACCCTTCCAAGAAGTTATGCAAGACAAATTGTACCTCTTCCAAGGCTGGTTTTTCTCCTCTCAAATTTCTCCCTCTTCCTCCTCTCATTTGCAGCTTCGCAGCATTGTTTAAAAGCCTTACGACAGCTGTCCGATTCTTGTACTCTTTTGAGACGCTCATCACAGGATGTATGCAGTTTGCTTGGCCTTACACCATCAATACAGCATTTCCTGTCTTTGTTCTTATAGCTGTTGACTGTTGATGATATTATCAATTGACATATGATTAAAAGAAAAATCATGTGAGGAATGATCAAGGGTTGTCAACCTGTTGTTTTGCATCTTACCGACTGCATTGTATTTTGCAACATAGTCCGCTCCTCTCCTGATACGAGGTTCAGGGTTAAAGTTACACTTATGTTCTGAGAAGAAGTAAAAAAAAAAGTGTTGATCACGCTTTCATGCTCTTATGGTTCTTGAATAATAATTCACAAAATAGATTGTCAGCAGGTTTTTTACTTTTGGGTATAGGGCTTTCCAGATCACAGTTACACATATAAGTTAGCCCAGCTCTCTCCAGAACAGCACTGGAGTCCTCTCCTCCTCCGACAGAGCAGGCCAAGTCATACGAGTTCATATACTCAAACATCTGTGGGAAAAAAACAAATCATCTCCATCGTGAGCGGCAATCCTGAAAAGGTACATGCAGTACTTTTAGGACTAGCATAGCGTACTAGATATCCAAAAAACTTTTGTATATAATGTACAGTACATAACCCCAAATGCATTACCTTTTGAAGGCTTAGTTTGTTTTTGTTCAGAATGTAAACAGCTGAGTCCACTGCGGCAAGAGCCACCTTGGCCTTTGGATCTGTTCTGACCGTCACCTTAAACCCAGTTGCAGGTTTTATCTCAGCCATTGGATCAATTTCCACCTATCCAAACAAAATGGTATGTGGAAACACTCGCCTCTAAAACAATATTTCACCATATTTAGATTCTGAATTATGTTGTCTTTGCTGTACCTTGCCTTTGCAGACATCTTTCACATCGACCCACACAGAGTCAGCCACTATTTTTTCTTTTGGTGTAAAATAGTAGGCGACCAGGCGAAAAGAAGGCACCATATCCACTTTAAAGTTCACATTGATTGTTGTGATTTCAGTTCTTGGCACCCTCCCCAACTGCACAATTTGTCCTTTACTCCAAACCTGTTTGGGGAATTTTTTATTTTTTTTAAATGATGGAAGACATTCAATTGAAGATAAAGCAAATATGGTAAAGACCATTTAAAAAAAAAAAGACATCCAAGCTGATTGTTCTTAGTCTTACCATAAAATAAAAGAAAGTTGGTTTTTCTGAACCCTGGGGTGTAATGTCCCGTAATGTGGCTTTCAAGTCTTCTCCAGGCTGTAGGAAATGTTGCTCCACTTCCAAACTAAGATAGCTGTGTTCTTCATCTTTTATTGCACTGGCTGTCATCTTTTTATCACTACGAATTGCCTCCTGGTCTCTCCCCTCGGCAAAAACCTGCAAAATAAGGACCATATAAAATTAACAGTCCCAGTCCTGGATACTGATTGGTCAATACCAAAGCCACAAGGATACACGAAAGGTTGATACTGTGGTTGACAGCAGATTTAAATGAAGGTAATTGTATATTGTGGCCACTTTGGAATGGTAATAAAGATATATCAATTATCATGTGAAATCTCACCGTTATAGTTAATTTCTTAGCCTGTGGTGGTATTTGAAAGGACATGGCTACATCTCCCATTTCATTTCCCCAGCCTTCATTGCTCAGAATCTGCTCTGGTGATCCTTTTATTGTAACAGTGGCTGTAAATTTCAAGTTTGGGACTCTTTGGCCATCTGGATATGTTGCAGTAGCCTGCAACAAAAAAATGCAGTAATAAAAAAATAATTAAGTTTATTTGTGTATGCAGGTGTGATACTAATATATATGTTAAAGCCAGAGAGGGATAAAAAATAACATATTTAAGTTAAACAATTATTTAAGCCACATACCAAAATGGAAAACAGGCCACCCGGGGTGAAATATGTCTTGGTTTTTGACAGATCAACAACATATGGTGATGTCACAATCTTCACAGAAGAACTTTCAGCTTCCTCTAGATTGCCACCTGCATAAAATAAATGCAAATATTCATTGTGATATCATTTTCAGTCATTAAACATATTTTAATACCCATCTGAGGATAAATAGTAACTTTAAGTAAATAAAATAAGTGAATAAGATGACACTAATAATAAGACAAAGAAACACTAATTATTTCATCAATATACTTTTGCACTTGTGATAACTAGAATTTATTTTATTGCATAGATTTTCTGATCTAATCTTTAGGCTACTTTCCATTTATTACTCACTTGCTTTTTCCAAAACTGAGACTGCAATATAAAGATAATATCCCTCTATATGGCCTTGAGTGTTATTTTTTGATGCCTTCTTTAAGACCTCAGTGCATACTTCTGTATTTGTAGTGCCATCCTCTACCTACATAACAGAAGAATATAAACAAATAAACCAAATCAGATACTGATTAGTACATTTTACACACACATGCATACATACATTATATATATATATATATATATAAATACATTTATTTATATATATATATATATATATATATACACTCACCGGCCACTTTATTAGGTACCCCATGCTAGTAACGGGTTGGACCCCCTTTTGCCTTCAGAACTGCCTCAATTCTTCGTGGCATAGATTCAACAAGGTGCTGGAAGCATTCCTCAGGGAGTTTGGTCCATATTGACATGATGGCATCACACAGTTGCCGCAGATTTGTCGGCTGCACATCCATGATGCGAATCTCCCGTTCCACCACATCCCAAAGATGCTCTATTGGGTTGAGATCTGGTGACTGTGGAGGCCATTTTAGTACAGTGAACTCATTGTCATGTTCAAGAAACCAATTTGAAATGATTAGAGCTTTGTGACATGGTGGAAGTAGCCATCAGAGGATGGGTACATGGTGGCCATAAAGGGATGGACATGGTCAGAAACAATGCTCAGGTAGGCCGTGGCATTTAAACGATGCCCAATTGGCACTAAGGGGCCTAAAGTGTGCCAGGAAAACATCCCCCACACCATTACACCACCACCACCAGCCTGCACAGTGGTAACAAGGCATGATGGTTCCATGTTCATGCCAAATTCTGACTCTAACATCTGAATGTCTCAACAGAAATCGAGACTCATCAGACCAGGCAACATTTTTCCAGTCTTCAACTGTTCAATTTTGGTGAGCTCTTGTAAATTGTAGCCTCTTTTTCCTATTTGTAGTGGAGATGAGTGGTACCCGGTGGAGTCTTCTGCTGTTGTAGCCCATCCGCCTCAAGGTTGTGCGTGTTGTGGCTTCACAAATGCTTTGCTGCATACCTCGGTTGTAACGAGTGGTTATTTCAGTCACTGTTGCCCTTCTATCAGCTCGAACCAGTCTGGCCATTCTCCTCTGACCTCTGGCATCAACAAGGCATTTCCGCCCACAGAACTGCCGCTCACTGGATGTTTTTTCTTTTTCGGACCATTCTCTGTAAACCCTAGAGATGGTTGTGCGTGAAAATCCCAGTAGATTAGCAGTTTCTGAAATACTCAGACCAGCCCTTCTGGCATCAACAATCATGCCACGTTCAAAGTCACTCAAATCACCTTTCTTCCCCATACTGATGCTCGGTTTGAACTGCAGGAGATTGTCTTGACCATGTCTACATGCCTAAATGCACTGAGTTGCCGCCATGTGATTGGCTGCTTAGAAATTAAGTGTTAACGAGCAGTTGGACAGGTGTACCTAATAAAGTGGCCGGTGAGTGTATATATATATATAAATACATTTATTTTTATTATCTGGAAGACTTTTTTTTTTTTTTAGCTTTTTTTCTACTGCAAAATTATTTACTTACTGCTATTTGCTGTTCAGTGCCTGGAAGATATATCTTATTCCCCATTCCATCAATAAGTCCAAATCGAACATATGCTATCCCATTGACCCCCTTTCCATAAGTATATCTGAAAACACCAAAAACTGATGAGTTACATGGCAAAATCTGAGGTCAACAACAAACCCCATCAGCATGTGATGGAGTAGTGTATATACCTGGCAGAGATGTTGAATGGAAAGGACTTGCTCATCAAAATATGGTAAGGCTGTGTAGACTCAATTTTAACCTCAAATGTGGGCAAAACTGTGATAAATGAAAGGTTAAAGTGACCGATTAAACGAGAATTCTTAAAATAGATGCATCTGCAATTTCATAATACCTACCATATTCCTTGACCTCAAACTCCACCGCTGAGATAGATTCAGGGTACTTATGGAATGATGCAATGATTTTCCATTTGCCAGCCCTGAAGGATGAATAAAATTACACACAATATATCAGTGAGGTTCATTACAAGTCCATAGCTGTCCCTTATAATGTAATGTTGCCCATTGTATAAGAATATGTATACTGTATATGCAAATGTGATTTTTACAATCAAAGCTTTAAACAATCACTATATACACACTTTATTTAGTGTAAGTGTTGTTTATTGTTTATGTAGTGTTCATGTAGTTAACTTACAGCTCCACTTCCGGTATAGTGATAGTTTTTTCCAAGATTTGGTCAGAAATGAAAATATGATTGTAAACAATCAAACCTTTGCAATTCTGTAAAAAGAAAGTTTTTCACCTGCTCATTCCAGGTATTTGTGCATATTATTTGCGTTTCATCATGGATAATAACAACTTACTGCTATTTGAATGTGAATTTCATCCTTTATGGGGAGCATGTAGTTGTCTAGGGTGAAGATTCTGTATTTTGCTGAAAAACATGGAATAAAGAGAAATTAAACTAATGTTGCTATTTGTAATACTGGTAATCAAATAATACATAACTAATAAAAGTAAATAAGTAGAATAATAGGAAAAAAGAAGAAAGTGAATAGTCATACAGTACCTTTTTCCCCAGGATTATAAATGGGCTTGTCTGTTTGGATAAAAATGTACCCCCTTTTAGTTGACAAAAAGATGCTGGCTTTTTTTACTTTGCCTGCAAAGACATTGCTTGTAGCTGCAAGCTGAACATATGGATCCATTTTCTTTCTTCCAACAATACTTTCATACTTCTTAGGATCAACCTACAGTACATTGGTTTGAAAAGACATTGGCAGAGACTGCTGTGGAGACATAGATTTTAACACTTTTAAAAATCTCAAGTGTACAGACTTACCTTAAGTTTTACCACAGCTTGGTAGCTATTGTCCTTGTTAAGGAATATAGATTTCTGTTCTGACAGAAATTTTGAAGGATTCTGATTTTCAAAGTATAGCTGCATGCTGATTTCTTCAGTTGCTCCATGAAGCTGAACACTCACAGTCTCTTCCACTCCCAGGTGAATTTTATTTGGAGCAACAATTAGGCATCTGCTGTAAAAATGCATACAAATGTATATACGCACTGATAGGATAGAACAAAACGCAAGAAGTGGGTAATTATGAGAAAACTAAAATCATTTACATTTTAAAATTAGTCAATAATTCTAGTACTTACGTGGGTCTTGCATCCACTGCAAGAAAAACCAAAAATGCAAAAAACAGAGGGCAGATCATCTTGCTGTTTTACCTTGCTCATGTGTGATTATTCCATTAGGACAGCGACTAAGATCATCTACCAACTAACTGAGAAAAGACTACGAGGGCTATTTCCCACCTCCGTCAAATTGGGCTTTGAAACTAATAAAAAAAAAAAAGGGAAAAATCTTGAAAAAAAAAAAAACCATGGTCATGTGATTTACAAGAAATCTTCTTGTCTGTTTATAACAGAACACAGCAGGAACAGCAGCTGTCTGGAGCAAAGGCAGTGAGAAAAGAAAACACCAGTGTAATTAATACAGCCTTCATTCTAAATGTTATGCCACGTCTTTGTATTCATTTTAGTAATGTGATTGATTAGTTTGTATCCCTTAGGATAAACCAACAAATGGGTATGGAAGCTTGTTTCCGCCACGGAATACACGGAAACATTTTAAAAGATAATTGTGACTTTATATCTCACAATTCTGACTTTTTTCTCATATTGAAAGATATAAACTCGCCATTGCGAGTTATGTCAGAATTGTGAAACAAGTTCGCAATTGCAAAAAATAGAGTTAGAATTGCGAGACACTGTATAAACTCGCAATTGCAAGGAATAAAGTAGAATACATTTTTTATAGTTTATATCTCGCAATTTTGACTTTTCTCAGAACTGAGATATAAACTCACAATTGGAAGTTATAAAGTCCAATTCTGAGGGGGTAAAACGATTCTGACTTTATAACTCATAATAGAGTGGTGAAGGTATGAAAACTAATTCACCACTGGTTCTAGAGATTTTCCTATGGGTTTTTTTCGATTTATGCGTAAAACCCCATAGGAAAATCTAAGGAACCAGCAGTGAATTAGACTTCATCATACTGAACCTGCACCTGTCAGTGACGAACGAGACAATCGCAAATGCAGTAAGGTGAATTTATTAGATATACACAAGTGTGAACAGCAGGCAAAGCCAGTTAGATACTGGTGCAGAGAGTGGTGGGTATTCAGGCAACAATCAGAGCCACAAACAGACAGTCCATAAACAAGATCCGAATTCATCAGTGTAGCAATCACCCAGACTGGAACAGGATTGAGACACAACTGTGAGCTGGATAACAACTGCACAGTAAACACCTAACTTCTGACAACACAGAACAGAAAAGGGACAGGTTAAGTAGAGTCATGCTAATGAGGACCAGGTGAGATGACTCAATCAGCACTCTCGAGGATTTTGGGTGCGAAAGAGAACGGAGCGAAAGAGACTTTAGCATCTTTCTCTTCTCCAACGTTGCGTCATTCCTTAAGGCCCCGGCACTGCCCAAAAAACCCTGCCAAACTACACCTAATGTGGTGGGCAGAGCATATATGGAGGCAGGTCAGGCTGGTGCATGTCTGCACATCCACACACAAAAAAAGGCATACCAAGCCGACCTATTAAGGGACCTCGATGCGTTTAACAGGTTCATCCCTCTCCACACTCGGTCCCAAGGGGCTGTTGCCAGGAGGCAGTCTCAGCCGTCAACCCGAGCCCCTAGGTTGCCTCTCAAGCCCCCTTTCAGAGAGCCTGGGGTCGAAGCAACACTCTTACAAAGAGAAAACAGATTTGAGGACTGTTTTTCTCTCGAAGGTGCTTTGGGTAAGAGGTCCAGATGCTACGTGCAGACCACTAAGGGCGCCCCCTCAGGAGCGATAAGGAGGAGCTGTGCTTCTAGCCCTGAGGCACTTCCTCTTACACCTCAGGGGCCATCATGATCTAGTACAAACATAAAATTGGCGTTACAAGAGATGACCCACTGTCTGCTCTGGTTCTCCCTTACACATCCAGCCCCACGGGACCGGATACCATGGTACAGACTTAGGCTTTTACTGTATGCCTTTCCCCCGATTGCTCTGCTCCCAGGAGTTCTAGAGAGAGGGGGGCTGACCCTTGAGGGGGATCAGTTCCTGAATACAGGCCTCTCAACTGAGGCTGTGAAGACCAGCCTCACCTCTCAGGGCTCCAGACTAACTTTTCCACTGGTTGCACTGGTGCTACCAACTTTCTCGGTTGGTCGCACCAGCATATGATTTGGTCGCACTTTTTTTTTTTTTTTTTGCTACATGCCATGGGATTAATCAATGCATGCTGATGAATAGTGGTTTTAATGGACCAAGGCTAGCAAAGGCTTTCTGGGTTGCAGCAAAAATACCTGTAATATATTAATTATCTTTGCCAAATTTCAGGATTTTCATGGATTTTGGACAGCAATTTTAATCTGTAATTTTAACCATTTTACATTTGAATTATATACAATCTATCTATTTACATTTGAATCATATTCTATCATCTATCTATCTATCTATCTATCTATCTATCTATCTATCTATCTATCTATCTATCTATCTATCTATCTATCTATCTATCTATCTATCTATCTATCTATCTATCTATCTATCTGTCTATTATCATCTTTCTATCTTTTAAAAATCAGTAAACATTCAAATGTATGCATTACATTTTAAAAGATTAGAGTATTATAATAAACTGATCCAGATTTTTCGTTATCAAAGTTTATAGTTGTAAGTAACAAAAAGCAGAAATATCACACTCCTTACCTTCTGCATTTTATAATAATTTCCTTTTCCTCTGTCGAGCGATCATGAGAGTAATCGCTCGACAGAGGAAAATATAACCGCTGAAAAGATGTAGGAGGAAGGGGCTCTGTGTTTCGTGAGACCATTTTTATCATTTTTATATGCCTTAATTCGTGAATTCGTAATTGGTGCGTTTCACCATCAGTGTGCAATGCGCGTGACGTCTACGTTCGTCAATAAATAAACTGCAAGTGTCTTGCAGAAGAACATTGTAGACGGAACTTCTCTCCGTTAGGGCCCTTACATAGTCAACGCATCGGTACGCATACGCGTGCGCAAGGCTACACATCGCTACGCTTTGGCCGCCATTATGCGTCGATGCGTAGCCAAATGTGTCATCCTAGTTTTTGATACGTGACGCGCCGATGCACGCAATACTATGCGTTGTCGGTGGGGGCGACATTGCAAGTAATGTACATAAAAAGGTATATTATTATGTTTACAGAAGAAGAAGATTTGAATACAATGGCGGGCGAAGAGGAAAAGTTATGTGAGCTTGTTTTATTGCCGCCGATGTAAAATCAGCAATATGCACTCCTCTTCAGTTGCCATTTTGATCTGAATATCACGTGACCCGACTCTAGACTCTACTACCCCCTGTTGCGCGATCGGTGTATTGCATTTCACGCATCGCCGGTGACGCTTGCGTCTGCTTGTGTACTATGAAAAGGAGCGTGTAGCTCGCGTCGCTCGCGTTGCTTGCTCGTGTTGCTCGCGTTGACTATGTAACGGCCCTTAAAGGAGAACTCCGGCGCAAAATGAACCTTTGGTCTAATTACACATTGTTACCTAGTCAACCTTATCTGAGATTTGTTTTCATGATTATCGAATGTAAATAGTTTTATCTCTAAAAACAGTTTAGCCTATAAAGCTAGTATAACGCTATATTGGGCATAGATCAATGACAAATAAAAATCGCTTGTTAATACCACTAACAAGGCTCAAAATAGCCCCACACTAACACGGTAGCATAATGAGGGTCCCTACCTTCAAACCGAAGCATTGAGAACTTTGTCAGTGTCCAGACAGTTTAATAAGAAGATATTTAATACATACAGTCAACTTCGCGTATACAGGCAGGAGCCATCTTTGAAATACAGTCTTTACCAGTCAATCTACGAACGTCGATCCAAGCCTGCTGTTCGCGCTCACCTTATCACAACTTATAGCTCGTTCACATCTCACCAGCGCACTTGGATCGGCGTTCGTAGATCGACTGGTAAAGGCTGTATTTCAAAGATGGCTCCTGCCTGTATACGCGAAGTTGACTGTATGTTTAAAATATCTTCTTATTAAACTGTCTGGACACTGACAAAGTTCTCAATGCTTCGGTTTGAAGGTAGGGACCCTCATTATGCTACCGTGTTAGTGTGGGGCTATTTTGAGCCTTGTTAGTGGTATTAACAAGCGATTTTTATTTGTCATTGATCTATGCCCAATATACTAGCGTTATACTAGCTTTATAGGCTAAACTGTTTTTAGAGATAAAACTATTTACATTCGATAATCATGAAAACAAATCTCAGATAACGGTTGACTAGGTAACAATGTGTAATTAGACCAAAGGTTCATTTTGCGCCGGAGTTCTCCTTTAATGTCTATGGCGAGTCACACAGGCACTGGGCTACTCCGCAGCCGAGACGACCCCGGGATAAAATAGTCCGAATATAAACTCTTATTATAGGCGTACCGTAGTGATTCAGAATAAGTCAAAAACATGGTTTGGAAAATGGATTCATGATGTAGCCTACTCGTTCATTTTGAACATAAGTTACGGACTGCAGTTGATACAACGGCGTTCTGTTGCTCAAGCGTCCACTCGCACAAATGTGACCACATAACATTTTAACTCGCACATTCTCAAAAAATGGTCGCATATGCGACCAATTTGGTCGCAGTCTGGAACCCTGCCTCTAGAGCTCCCCCAACGAGGAATCTGTAGTTGGTGAAAGAAACAGTGAAAGTTGCTGTTAGTTGGACCCAGTTAACTGCCCAGTGGCTCCTGTGAAAGAAATTTTATCTTTAAGATGTGTGTGACCATCATATGACACACACAAACCTTATTCTAATATGGAATTGTATAAGAATGGTAAAGAGTGTTGGTACGTGACGAGCCTTCACTCAAGGATAAAATATGATGAACAAGTCTTAGAATGTTCCACGTATGGTTGAAAATACCATCATTGGCCTTGAAAGATAACATTCTGGGAGTCAAAACTATAAAAGAGGGTGCCCTCCCCTCACTGTCACACTCCACAGCCACTCTGTGTGACTGTATGACTGCTGGCCTTTTTTTGCAAGAAAATAAACCTCATCAAAGACAATTCGAAATCTTTGTCTCAGGATTTGACTAGCTGCACACGTGCTTCATGTGGTGATATTCAATGACTTTCATTTTGAAAGGGTTTAAAAAAAAAAAAAAAGACTGTTGAGAGCTGTTGAGAGCTAGACCGAGCTTGTGCTGTCGTGAGTTTCAGCCAAGCGTGATCGC